TATCTTTATCATATAAGCTAAATAAACTTATTAAAAAAGAAAAAAACTAATCAAAAACAAAATTGAGATTGAAAAAGGTCGCTCGTCTGCATTAAATAATTGCAGAAAAATTGGTATACGTGAACTTCCCAATGAAATTGGGGTTTTTTAACCCACAATCGTGCGAGCGGTAGTGAGAAGGCCAACGGATAGAGGAGAGGGAAAGTGGGGTTCCGCGTCTCTTACCGTACGGTGGTGGGGCCCCTTTCCGGTGAACGGAAAACCCAAAGGAAACGCTAAAACTCATACCCAAAATTACATTCAAGCGTCCACCTTCCTCTTTCGTGTCCTGTCAATTATTGTCTCTCTCTACGTACCCAGCAAAGCACCCACACCACTGGCCACATTGTACGCACTCCTCACAACCACAGCCAGAACCCTATAGGCTTCCTTCTCCTTCACTCCCCTCTGATCTATATATCTTCCCCCTCCCCTTTCTTCTCTCCTCACACGAAAATCTCAAGGAAAGCCAGCTTCCTTTAGCAGATGCAGCATAGAAAGCTTTTGTGTTTTCAGTTATGAAATTGATTGTGTCTTTGGAGTTTGTAGCTTGAAGGGTGAACGAAAGGGTGTTTCTGGGTTTTTGTGGGGTAATACCCGGGTTAGACGCGTTGTAGGAATCACGGCTATATACAAAGTTTCTCGGCCTCTCATTCATGTCCGGGCAGTACGACGCAAGGGTTGTGTGATCGAGAGCAACCCTTCGCCGCACGGCGGGCGTGGAGCCTTGCCTTCTGAAGGGGGCAGCCCTTCCGATCTCCTCTTTCTCGCTGGTGGTGGTTTCGTTTCCTTCTCAGTTTGCTTTTAGATTAGTAGTTTCTAGATATAAGCTTTATTAAGAATTTCTGTTTTAGAAGTTTAGATCTGTGTTTCTAAGTGAAGGAAGAAAATTTGTTAGAACAAAAAAAGTTAAAAGCTTGAAGTTGTTTCTGCTAGTTGGGGTCTCGGTGTGTTGTTTGAATTGTTGGGTTAAAGAAGAGGAGTAATAACATGATGCTTAAAATCAAAAGGGTGCCCACTGTTGTTTCGAATTACCAGAAAGAGGAGGCGGAAGGGAGCACTCGCCGCAATGGTGGATGCGGCAAGAATTGCCTCAGGGAGTGTTGCATTCAAGGTATTTGTTGAAATGCTTTGGTTACTCACACATGCATGTTAGTTTCTTCTTTCTGTTTTGGCTGGACAATCTTGAGGTTTTTTGTGGAGTTTAATTGTGATCGTGTTTTTGTTTATAGGAGCAAAACTTCCTTTATATGCCTTCAAGAAGGTGAACAATATTGGAAATGCAAGGAATATGCTTGAGAATGAGAACAGGGAATCTCCAGTTGCTTTTCTTGACTCGCTCCTTCTTGGGGAGGTATATTGCTGTTAATCATATAATGGAACATTTTAACCCATTTTCTTTCTTTTTATTCCTTCCCCAATTGTGAAATTAAAGTACCTTACCATTTGATGGTAGTGGGAGGATCGCATGCTCAGAGGACTCTTTCGTTATGATGTCACTGCCTGTGAGACCAAGGTTTATCTTTGTTCCTCTTCTTTTTCCTGTTGTATGCAATTCATGATGACTTGGAACATATGTGCTTAATTCAGATATCTTCTGCTCTTTACCATCAAAATTTATTATCTTGTGTTAGGTGATTCCTGGTGAATACGGCTTTATTGCCCAGCTGAATGAGGGACGTCACCTTAAAAAGAGGCCAACTGAGTTTCGTGTTGATAAGGTCCTCCAGCCCTTTGATGGGAACAAATTCAACTTTACTAAAGTTGGACAGGAAGAGGTCCTTTTCCAGTTTGAAGCAAGCGAAGATGGTGAAGTTCAGTTCTTCCCAAATGCTCCAGTTGATGCTGAGAATTCTCCAAGTGTTGTTGCCATTAATGTAAGTTTGTTGTGCATGTTTATTTGTTTAGAATTTAAGAGAGCTGGTTGAGCCAGAGCGATAAGTCTTATGAAAATGCTTAGATTTGCTTTGACTGTGTACAATTTAACAGGTCAGTCCTATTGAATATGGACATGTTCTGCTGATCCCCCGAATTCTGGAGTGCTTGCCCCAGAGGATTGACCGTGAGAGCTTATTGCTCGCTCTCTACATGGCAGCTGAGGCTGGGAGTCCATACTTCAGATTGGGTTACAATAGCTTGGGTGCATTTGCCACCATTAACCACCTGCACTTCCAGGTGCTTTTTTGCGGATTCTTTACTCATTGATACCTCATGATGAGAAGTTTCTAAAGCCAATTTAACCTTTGCAATGGCTGCAGGCCTACTTCTTGGCAGTGCCCTTCCCTATTGAGAAAGCCCCCACCAAGAAGATAACTGCTTTGAAAGATGGGGTGACCATCTCTGAGCTTTTGAACTATCCAGTCAGGGGTCTTGTCTTTGAGGGTGGAAATACCATACAAGACCTTGCCAACACTGTCTCTGATGCTTGCATCTGTCTTCAAGAGAACAACATACCGTACAATGTTCTCATCTCTGATTGTGGAAAGCGGATCTTTCTTTTACCACAGGTAATCAATTAGAGTCATAATTGAGGTTTTTTTTCATTATCTCCATGATGTTGCTAGTTCTTACCAATGAATTTTCAATTCGTCAAATGAACAGTGTTATGCTGAGAAACAAGCCCTTGGGGAAGTGAGTCCTGAGCTGCTGGACACTCAAGTGAATCCCGCTGTGTGGGAAATTAGTGGTCATATTGTGTTGAAAAGGAAGAAGGACTATGAAGAGGCATCTGAGGAAAATGCTTGGAGGCTTCTTGCTGAGGTGTCTCTCTCTGATGAGAGGTTTCAGGAAGTGAATGCACTCATATATGAAGCCATCTCCTTTGGTAACAATGGCAATATTGTTCAACAGCTGCCCGAGGAGCCTGATGTTGACGCTCAATCTCTTGCCGTAGATGATGCCATCAAGAAAAGCTCTCACCGCCGAGTGGTGGCTGGGACACCTGAATGCTTTGTTCTGCAGTAAGAATGAGCATTTGATGGATCAAATTCCAGCGTTTCTGGTTGTTTGTCTATAATTAAAGTATGGAATTTGGGATTGTAGAAGAACTTATCATGTCATGCCCGTGCCTAAATAAGCAAACAGAGTTTGCAATGCTGGAATGCCATTAGTGTTTTGAGTACTCTAGTAGTATGCTTGTTGGCATTGTGATGCTTTATCTGTGTGGTCAATGAGATTATATGTAAATTACCATGAATTGGTGGCTGTTAGTAGCTTATCTGAATGCATGTTTAATTATGTACCTGTTACGCCTCCTCTAGAGAATTTTTTTTCCTACTAATTGGATTCTTAAGGGGATATCCCATCATTCAATTTTTTTAAAAAAGCCAAATGGAAAAATAAGTTTTCATAATTTTTTAAATTTAAATTTAAATAACTTATTTTAAATCAAATTAAAAAAATTAATAATTTATTTTATGTACATATATTCATGCCTAAGTACACCTTACCCATTAAGTTAAAAAAATAAAAATAAGAACTGGTTATGTTTCATGATAAACACAACCCACCACGTTTTCATTTCATTTTCAACAATAAAACAAACAAAAATGATGGAGCTCATGGAACTGACCGGGTTAAGTGGCTTTAACTACGCTTGTAAAGTTCATATTTCTCCTCAAGGTAACGGTTCGAGTCGGTTCCATGACAAAATGTTAAAAAAAGAAAAAAAAAAATGATGGAGCTCATAAAACGTGAAGAAATGACAAGAGAGAGAACAGATCATTCCAAATTTCAATTATGGGTCTGAATTCCAAAAGCCTAGCAAATAGACAGCTCTAAAGTTTGTAATAAAAGCAGTGACGAGTATATTTCCTATCATAATCATAACAACTTGCATCGTAGGATAAGGAAGCTAATTAGAAAATGCACCACAGTGTCTTTTCTGGCTTCCGAGTTAAACTACCGGTGCAATATAAGTCAGAAAAAGTGGGTATTGGTATGTATTGTAAAAAATTAAATAGAAAAACATTTTAAAATTATATTAATTTAATAAAATTTTCAAAAATTAAAATATTTTAATTTTAAAGTAAAAATGAGATTATTTATTATTATTATTATTTTTTTATTAAAATGACATGATTTTAATTTTTTTTACTTAAATTTTTTTTCTAAATATGAGTAATAAACACTAATCTCATATAAGTTTGAGGGTAAAATAAAAAATAACAAAGTTTTGGAGCTAACTTAATAACTGAACAAAAATAAAGGAGCTAACATTTAGAATAAATTTTGCCTTAAATATACTGCACTACTGCCCCCTCAATCTTCTGCCTGCACTAGAACTGCGGAGCGGAGTTACTTCCAAAAACATTTTTTAAAAAAAATAAAAATCCTGCTCTTTCCATTCTCACATGGAAAGAATCAATCTTTAATACGCTCCAAAGCCCTAACACTCGCTTCTTTCTCACTCACATTTTATTACATTTTAGCGGAAAGCTTCATTCAGGTATCTTCTGTTTCTCTATCTATGATGGTTGCTCTTTTCAGTGTTTCGTTTGCTCTGTATTTTCTGTCTGGTTTCTGTTTGCTCTGTTTGTTTGGTGGGCAAGAAATAGCTGGAAAACTAACATGGGATTTTACAGGGGTTTATTCCCTATTCATACCATCCTAACTTGGGTTAATTTAATTGTCTGCTCCGTCTCTATACAGCTCGACAATGACTCTTTCTGTATTGCTGATATTAAAGAATCACCAGTGTGGTTTTGTTTGTCCGATTAGATAACAGTCATTCTGTCTTTTTTTTTTTTAATCAGTTTTGACCATGTTAAATGTGGGCTTTTGGGATAATTTTGATTTACTTTGATGATTATGTAAAAAAGTTGTGATCTTTTTTTTGTTATCCTCAACATAATCCATCAAGTGATGAACTTGTGGGTCTAACTGTTCTCTAGTGTTTTAATTCTACGAAGTTATTGAACTCAGTCAGTGTAGTGAGATTGATGCCTAAAACATGGTCAAGCAATGAGTGTATTTGTATTAGCAAAATTCATCCCTTCTATAATGAGTAGCTAAATTTTCAATTTTTCTCTTTGTGTAGTTTAAATTTGAAACCAATTTGTTAGTCTTTCATCAGGGACTTGGGAGCATCTTGAATTATTGAATTTGTGGCATGGCTTCTTCATCATTGTTTTCTACATGCACTCTTGACAAGGGTTCTTTTGGTTTAAAAGCCATCAGCTTCAAGAAAGAGTTAATGTGCTGTAATCTCTTCAACAAACTACCTGCATATTCGAGGGTTTTGATCAGTGAGAAATCAATAAAATGGAATCAAAGCCAAAATCCCCCAAGGAATGCAACCAAGTGCAGTGTGTTGGCTATTGAAGATTCACTGTCATTTCCAGTGGATAAGAAGTTTCAATTTGATGATGTAATTGATGCTCAACAGTTTGATAGAGATGTTTTGAGTGCTATATTTGAAGTTGCTTGGGAGATGGAGAAGATTGAGAAGAAATCACCCGGAAGTCAACTTCTTAAAGGTTATCTAATGGCCACCCTCTTTTATGAGCCTTCAACTAGAACTAGACTTTCATTTGAGTCTGCCATGAAACGTCTTGGTGGTGAAGTTCTAACGACTGAAAATGCTCGTGAGTTCTCTTCAGCAGCCAAAGGAGAGACACTAGAAGGTAGATATTTATCTTCTTTTTTGGTATTTTAGAGTTATTTTTGCTCTCAATAGTTGTGACCATATTGTTGGATTTGCAGATATTATAAGAATTGTAGAGGGGTACTCTGATATAATTGTGATGCGACACTTTGAAAGTGGTGCTGCCAAAAGGGCAGCAGCTACAGCTGGCATTCCTATTGTTAATGCAGGTGATGGTCCTGGACAACATCCCACCCAGGTATGTACTGAGCCTTTCATTATGTGATTCTGCAAATGTCATGGTTATCATTTGATATCTGGCTTTTTGAAAACCTTTGGATAGAGATTCTGTTCACAAAGCAAGAGCATGTTCTTGTCTTATCTTGTCACGTCATCATGATCTTGTGCCTTGTCTAGGCCCTTTTGGATGTCTATACCATACAAAGAGAAATAGGGAAATTGGATGGCATCAGAGTTGGGCTTGTAGGAGATCTTGCCAATGGTAGAACTGTCCGTTCACTTGCCAACTTGCTTGCAAAGTACCAAAATGTGAAAATCTACTTTGTCTCTCCTGATGTGGTGAAAATGAAGGTAAGTGTCTAGAAGTTTTTATTTATGATGACTAAGTGGCCTATATGTGGAATCAAGCCTAACAATGTAATGGTAAAAAAAATAGACATTGCTTCTCTGCTAGTCTATGATCAGTCAGACCCTTTCATTTCATTTCCATTTATTCTTTGTCAGGATGACATAAAAGGTTATTTGACATCACAAGGAGTGGAGTGGGAAGAAAGTGCTGACTTAATGGAAGTGGTCTCTAAGTGTGATGTGGTGTATCAAACTCGCATCCAGAAAGAACGGTTTGGGGAGAGAATTGATCTTTATGAAGAAGCTCAAGGTAAGTACATAATAAATCGTGAAGTGTTGAAGGTGATGCAGAAGCATGCTGTGGTCATGCATCCTCTTCCAAGGCTTGACGAGGTAACCCTCTAGCATTTCAACAATGCATACATAATCCTTGGGACGTTTCCTATATATGTTGTTGGTTTAAGTCATTTACACTATATTTCATTGATATCATGCACAGATTACTGCAGATGTTGATACAGATCCAAGGGCTGCCTATTTTAGACAAGCAAAGAATGGTCTTTATATCCGGATGGCTCTTTTGAAACTCTTGCTTGTGGGGTGGTGAGATTCGCGGTTTTCTTCCATTTAAGATTTTAGCATGTAATCCAGGTACAAGTTCTCTTGAGATAGACCGTAAGTCCACCTATAATTTCTTCTGATCAGAAGAGTGGAATTTTTTATGACCAATTTATATCCAAAATCAATGATCTATTGGTTCAAATAGAAAGTTTGAATCTTGTGAATAATAAAATAGACGTTAAAAGAGTTTTCTCTTATAGGTTCTAATGTAATTTGGTTTTAGATTAGTTGCGGTTTAATGTGTTTTTTGGATTTGTACCTAAAAAAAATATTATGCCCAGCTGATAAACCATGGAGGTTCATGATTCAACCAATCCTACATTGTCTTTCTGATGATATCAGTTTCTTTTTGTCAAAATAAATGCCTCGTGCCTGTCTGGTCTCCAAATAAAAAGCATCATAACCAAACATTCAACAGAACATGCGCCTCATCAGTCATCTCTAACAACTTTATCTTTTTTACTCCTTGCTGCATCAAGGAGTGATCAACACACAGAATAGGGATGAAATCGAAATGTCTTAAAAAGTCGCGTGTGGGTAATGAGATTATAAAAAGTGAACAAGATGCCACTACTATATCGGTTGCATGCCGAACATGAAATGGCAAATTCATATAGCAACACGTGCGCAGCTAAATCGGCCCGGAAAACGACACGTGCGTGCCGTCTTATCTTGGCCGATGTTAATATGTTATTAGTAGTAACTCTACTAAGGTGATCTCCATTTGCTCTTTCAATTCCTAACCAAACATGGGAGGCCAAAGCCATCTCTTTCTCCTCCACACCTCTTCCAGAGCAGCCGTTGTCCAGCGGATCTTGGCGGCGCCATGCACTCTCTGCAATCCCATCAAGGTAAGTAAAGAAAACATACACTTTTAAATGAAATTATGAAAGCAGCTAGTTATGATGATCAGTTTTAATTTTTGTTTCCAAAAATGAATCAATACTAATTAACTGGTGCCTGAATTTTTCGATGAGGTAGAGATACAGCGAAGGAAGTAATGAAGGAGGAGAGGATTTTCTTCGTCTGGCAAAGACAAAAGATGTGCAGGCGACGGATCAGGAGAAGGCGCCTTCATTGGAGGACGAGTTCGAGAGGGTAGCTGAGGAGAAATCCAAGGCAAGGGAGGAAGTCAAGGGGGCAGAGCAAGGCGTCGCCAGCCAAACAACGGAAAAAGTGTACGACGGTGCGGAGGAGGCCACCATTGTTGACCCCTCCAAGGTTGAGTCGGCATAGAATAGGTACAAGGAACATGAAGAAGGAGCTGACTAGCACAGAAAGCCACCCAGTCATGGTGGCGTCCTAGGAACAGGCCCTTGGATTAATTATATAATAAAAGAAAATCAAAGTTGTAATTTGTGTTGAAGCAGTTTGCGATTATAAATTTATAACTCAACTTCTGAATCTTAATTTCAGTGGAAACTAGAAAGATGGAAGGTGAAAAAACACACATATTTTTTTCCTCGTAGGCCATAGAAAAATTAATTTTTGTCAATTGAATAAAAGTTGGAAGTTTTTTTTTAGTTTCGGACATGTTTAATTTTCTTTCCTTTCAAAATAAAATTTATTCGCTAAAAAATTTTGTTGAACATGATTAGAGTGTAAGGAAAATGATTGAAGGAACAATTTTTTTATGTAATATTTTGATATATAATTTTATAGATTATATTATTAATTTTTTTTACTCAATTGAATCGATAATATTATATGTATTTACTATAATATTTAGAAGTTATATAAAAATATTATATAAAAAACTATTTCCATATCATGAGCTTTAATAAATTTATAATGACGCTTTTTGTTTACTTATATAACCTATAAAACTATATTCTTCTCACAATATTTATCACTCTATTATATGGTCTAAGATTTAAAAATTTTAAATTTTTATGAATAGTGTTTATTCCCTTTAAAAGATTAATAAAAAAGCATTTTAAATTATATAATAACAAAATACAGTATAAAAAAAACTAAAACAATATAATTCTTGCAGTAAGAATATTTCAAAAAAGAGAGTAAGGTTATTATAGTGAAATGCATCCGTCTTTAAAAGGTTAAAAAAAAAGAAAGAAAGAGGCCTCAAGGAGAAGCCCAAGTGGCATAAAAAGGCCTAAAAAACAAAGAGGCTGAAAGTGTTAATTCGTTAAAACAAGTTGGCCCACAAAACAAATGGACTAAAAGCTCAGCCCAAGAGATTAGAAACTCTTCTCCCCCCCCTCCTCGGCTTCTAGGGTTTTACAGTGGGATACCAATTTCTCATCTCGGCAGTTCCTTCTGGTTTTCGCAAAATCGGCGGCGGCGGCAAGGTAATTCCTTTAAAGGATTAGTTTTTCGAGTTCTAGAAGTGTCGGAAATCTAACGTATTTTTGCACGAAACAGTCATGTCTAACATTCAACCATTCTGGGAAATTCTTGGATTTGGTTCTGGGTATTTATCCGCTCTAGCTTCATAAAGCTTGTCTAAATCCAGAAATTAGATTGGGATTTTAGTTTCTTTTTCTTGTTTCTTAAATTTAGAATGATAGCTTATATATTTCATCAATCAGAGAATTTGAGTGCTGAAATAATGGATGTGAAATGGGATGATGTTATCATCAACAACCACGAACTGAGATATTGTTAATGGTCTGAAATTGGTGTGTTTACCCACAATTTATTTGAGCTTCTTGTATTGCTGTGTTTTGAACATTTGCTGTTGCACACACACTCAAATATCTTTTTGTTCTTAAGTAGTTAGGTTGATCAATGGTAATGATTTGAGGCCTCACATTTGAGTTTTGGTGGAGTAGGGAAGAAATGAGTGCTTTCAAAGCTTTCAAAGCTTGTGTTCCTATTGAATGGAGCCCCAACCTTTATATAACTCTAGTGAGGGGAATGCCAGGCACCAGGAGGCTGCACCGGCGTACCTTAGAGGCATTGCGCCTGCGCAAATGCAACCGCACTGTCATGCGTTGGAACACGCCAACTGTTAGGGGCATGCTTCAACAGGTTTTATTTTGAGTTTCCAGTGAATTTGGCTTCATTTGTTTGCTGGTATCTCTCCCAGCGGTTGATTCTTCTTTTTCAATTTCAGGCCCTTTTCAATGGTAATTTTGTTTATAATGTTATAGGTTAAAAGGTTGGTGGTGGTAGAGACGGAAGAGATGTATAAGGCGCGGAAAGAGAATGAGGCCAACCACCGAGCTCTACGCCCTTCAGTTGTTGTCAGTCATCTCCCAGGTTCTGCAACAGACTCCTCTAAGCAATCTTAAAAATGCTTCAAAGGCTTTCCCTTCCACCTCTGGTTCAAAGGGATTTTGTTTGTTTTTCAAACTTACCTTTGTAGTATCATGGCAAAGAATTCTGAAGTGGATATTCTTGATGTATCTAGATCTTCTGTTGTTGCATGCAAGTACTTCAGATTCAATAAATTGTACTTATTTCTGTCTTATATTCTTGCTTTCTGTTGACGGCTTAAAGTTTTTAGTTATGATTTGTCATTGGCAGTAATCCTTTGAATATGAGCTTCTATTATTCTTTTACCCTGTAGAAGAATGGTTGAACATTATGTTGAACAATAATATCCTCGTTTGCTAGAAGCTTGAAGGGATCGATGTTTTGCGTTCTTCTCCTTGTAAACTGTGCAATTTAGCTAAAACCCCAACCAGGGTTGCAGTATTATATGTGCAGGCCTCTGTTTGCATGTAGTTTGCTCGTTCATCCCTGAACTCATCCTTTCTATCTGGTCCACCGACAAGGGCCCCAATTATAACATTAGTGTTAGGACCCTTTTGCCCAAACCAGTAATCATAACCCTGAATGCACCCAATAAACCCCTTGTTCCTCCTATATGATTCAATTGATGCTCCTCTATGATGCACCCTTTGTGGATATCTCAAGCCATATGCAACCAAGTAACTCATGGCCATTGGATTATCACCCAAGATATAATCGATCTGTGATTTCGCGAAGGCGAATACTTCTTCTGGATCCACCTCACCACGATCACATCTGAGCTTCTGATTTGAGGCTAGAAGATGATCAGAGTAAATTGTGAGCAGAAATGTAGCTGCTGATACATACTGCATATTGTTCCATTGGCGGATATATAGTAAGCCTCCTGGGGTGTGCTCCACATTAGACCCATTGTTTTTATTTAGGCCAGCACACAGGTAATATTCAGATTTTGAACGGTACTGTTCCAATATGTTCTTGTGTTCCTTGGACTTTGCTTCACTCATCAACTGCGTCCATTAAGAACGTATGCAAAACATTTACACTTAATATATAGAACAACATAAACTCTAATAAATCAAAGAAGGATGAAACTAGCAACATACAATGACTCAATTTTTGTTAGATTGAGTGAAATCGATATCAGATTCTAGCTAGCAAATGAAGAAGAGATGGAAAAGAGTTACGTACCATGGAAGCAATGATCTGAACACCGGCATACTTGATATCCCAACTGAATTCCTTGACAGCCCAAGTAATTCCACCGAAGTCTTGAGCATTCTCTAAGGCATAGTTCAAGTAATCCTCCTTGTGGGTGGCCCTGTATAGCCACAAAGCTGCCCACAATAGCTCATCTTTGTATCCACTCACCGATGGGTAGTGCAATTTTGCTGCCTCAATACTTACGTCATACTTCCCTCTATACTTGTCCCCAAATTCAAACAACTACCAAAAACAAATTAAAAATAGACCAAAACAAAACCAAATAGAGGTAGATGAGCGGTTTGCCGTTTGAACTGACAAAAATAAATTAGTCTTGGATGATCGCAGCCACTCAACCAAATAATGAATAATTAGAATTAAAATTAGTTAAAACACTTCCTCTAATTTTGGTTGCACTGACCAAAGCGAAAAAATCCAATTTTGTTTTGGTGAATGGTGCACATCTACCTAACATGTCACAAAAACAACTTCATTAATTAACAAACTTACTTGTTTTGCATGTCGCAATAGTAGGTGAGAGTAACGCGGATTAGTTTTCCTAAACACAACGGACGCTGCTGCCAAGGCGGCTGCTGTCTCACTAGCGACATCGGACCCGGGGTTCTCGTTGTCCACCTTGAAGGCTTGCCTCGACGTCGTCATGTCCTCTGGCCTCTGCCAACAGTAGTGGTCAGAGTCACCGTCCCCAACCTGTGCCCACAGGACGTTTGGGTGAGTATGAGCTTTGATGAAGTAATCCGTCCCCCATTTGATCGCCTCCAGTGCGTGGTGGTACTCGCCTGCAAAGGCGATTTCGTCTCCATATTCGATGACAGACCATGAGAGCATTGTGATCGTGAAGGCCATTGGGAGACCAAATTTCACGTTGTCACCGGCATCATAATATCCTCCAACCAAGTCCACCTATACACGATCAACAACATACTGAAACTTTCCAGAGCCTGTGAAACCATTGGTTAAGAAAAAGATAGATTAGAATGGAGAAGGGGAAAATGATGATTACGTACTCCTTGATCAAGGCCGTCGGTGAGTGCAGAATGGTGGCGCCAGGTGACTCTCTGGTGGTAGGGTAGGTGGCCGGAGCGCTGAGATTCAAAGTAGAGGAGGCTCTTTGAGAGAGCTTCACCGTAATCGAAGGACTGGCATGATGATGAGGGTAAGAGGGAAATGAAATGGAGGAGAGCAAACCCTAAACAACATTGTAAAGTCTTGGTTGGATTGTGAATTAATTGCATCTTCGCCTCCATTTGAATTAAATGCATCTTCTTTGTCTTTGGCTCTTTGTGTATTTATATATATGATACATTCTTAACTTCATAAAGTTAGGCATTGAATCGACTTCAAACAGAAGTCAATATTTGATGTTTATTTTTTTTGTATATTTTCTTTTCCTCTTCATATGATAATAGCACGTTTCCTCTTCTTTTTTTTTTTTTTAAATTAATCTCTGTGTCAAAACTTCAAGAATTCAAAATGGTTGGAGAAATAAAGATATGGAAAGGATTTAATGTATATGGCACATTTTTAACTTTACATAAGAAGAATTCAATGTGATTTCTTAATGTTGTTTTGCATTTTCCTTTTAAGGCATTTTCCTTTTAAAAGAATAAAATTCATTCGAGATAACTGTAGTTTCTAATTTTTACTTAAAACTAAGGGTGTTTATATTCGATCAAATTCGATTGATTCGACATAAACTGATCTGATCCAATAAAAAATCGATCCAAACCAATATAAAATTGAGTTGGTTTAAATTCTAAAATTTTAAAACTGATATAATTGGTTTGGTTTGTGATTTTACCCTCAAACCGCCCAAACTGCCCGATTATAAAATAAAATCTGATTAGAAAATAATTTAATTAAATAATATAACATATTTTTTTGTAGTATTTTAAATTTTCTTTTTCTTATTTTACAAGATTATAATTCCATTAAATTAATTAAAAAAAATAAAAATAGAACATTTCTATATTCTCTAAGTTATTTCTTCATTTTAATCATGCACTCTAACCTTAATTCTAAATTTTTAATTCACTACAATTTTATCCTCTCAAAAATGGTTTGCGCCTTTACTCTTAAAATCCTAAATTTCTAATTTATTCTTAAAATAATCTTATAATTTTCCTAACTAAATTTTAAATAAGTATCATTCTAAAAGTTTTAAAACTATATAATAAAATTAATTTTAATATTCAACCATACTTAGATATTTGATTAAGAAGTTTTAAATTTTAATTTTGAATACTTCTAATCAATTTTAGTAATATTCATGTTAAATATTATTAACTTTTAACAGAATTTAGAAAATAAGATTAAATTATTAGTGTATTAAGAAAAAAAATTAATTTTAACCTTCAAGCAAGGTTTTTAAAACCGGACCGGACCTGTTGGTTGAACCGATCAGATCGGTACTCGGGGATGAAAATGGTTTGGTTTATATAAAAAACCGTTTGATGTCAAAATCGATCAAAAATCGATGAAAACCAATCAAAACCGATGAAACCGAAAAAACCACCGGTTCAATTTCTCATGCAATCTTCTTTCAATTTTTTCCAATTTCACCCTTCCCATTCCTTTCTTATACCCATTTTAACCTTTAATTTTAACAAAATTAGAAAATTATCAACACCAAATTAGAAAATCCATGCTTGCAGCTTGCTCCTCTCATCAAATCTTCCTTGCTGTTTGGATCGGTCGGTTCATCGGTTGAACCGATTAAACTGAGAACCAGACTTAAAAATGGTTCAATGATCGATCCGGTTTTAAAAACCTTGCCTTCAAGAATTATTTACGTTGTACTAGAAATTTGAAGTTATTTTTTATTGTTTTTTGTGCCTCTAGTGATGTAACTAAGAAGAATTTTCAGAGTTTTAGAATTTTCAAAGTTTTTCAATTTTTACAAATGTAAAGGAGTATAAGAATTCATTTATAATTTTTACCTTTTATTATGTTTTTACTGATTTAGATGTTAATGTATTTTATAATTATACTTTCTATTTGATGTTAAAATATTTTTACACTATCTTATATATTTAATAATGTTAAAAACCGATCAATCCGACCAAACCACATCAATCCAATTTAAATTAGATTGGTTTGGTTATCACATAATAATGGATTGAATTAGTTTAAAAAATAGTACAATCTAAACTAAACGACACCGCAAATAACTCTACTTAAAATTATTATGGATATGAGAATGTACAAAATGCACTATTTTTAACCATTGATGAAGAAGTGGGTCCTCAATATCATAAGCTCACCCTTTTATTAATAATTAAATAAACTACAACGTGCAATATATCATATATGGATATTCATGGAAGAATTGGCCGTTTGGAGATCCAGATCAAAGACAGAAAACTTACATAGATAGGAGTCATTCAAAACAAAGAGGACCAAAGGAAGGGAACTCTTTAAAAAGGTATCATATAGTATTCCCCCCACCCTATATGGTGTTTGATAAAGGACAATGATATGGACACATAATGAGCAACACCCAAATCAACACCCAGCTGACCAGTAAAAGTAAATTGGTAAATTTACCCTCCTCACAGTTCTATCGGTCAGCTGAGTGTTGATTTGGGTGTTGTCCATTGTGTGTTCATATCATTGTCCTTGATGGAATTTAAAAAGTAACTTATTTAAAATAAAAAATTTTCATTTGCAAATTTAAAAATTTACTAAAAAGAAATTCAAAAATTAATTTTAAAATGACTTAAACAAATTAAAAAAAATTTAGATGTATAATTTTTTAAAAAAAATTTACTTAAAAATATTTTAATACTTAATTTTAAAATTTTCTTCAATAAAATTTTAAATAATAAAAAAATACTTTTAAAATAAATAATTTTTTAAGTTTTGCCTAACACCCTCATAATTTCTGCCTCTTAATTTCTTGCAGAAATCTGTTCATTTTATTGTAATTTATTTGCTCAAATTCTTGGTTTCTCCGGCTATATGTATGTGGGTCTTTTGGAAACCAACATGCAAGTATTAGCTCTGTTTATTGAACAAATAAAAGTAGAAGGAAACAATCCATGAACTCTGAAGTGCAAGCATGAAAGGCAAACGCTTTCAACCTCTTCATCTCGCCTACACATCTAACCATGTCAAGCTAGTGATACTTTTTTTAGTATGTAAGGGAATTAACTATTTAATAATACAAAAATTTTAAATTTTGATATTGACTTTATATCAAAATTTTTATATTAGTGAATATCAATACAGTTAAACTTTAATTGATTAAAGCAACTAATATTAATTATGATAGATTGTGGCCCTTGTTTCCATGTTAACGAACCTTAACACTCCGAATGTATTACATATATATATATATATATATGATTTCTTGTATTTCCTGATAATCCACCTTCAAGGTCAAATACCCGCTTAGCACAAGTGAGTCATCCAACCATGTAAATAGGAACGAAGTAAACACCGAGAAAAGGCTTCAATGGACAAAGTAACGTTATATGTAATCGCGAGGCATCATCCAGAAACATGGTAATGAAGAGGCTAGCTCTATTTCAGAAATGCACTACTTAGACCGTAGCACCACCAGTAGCAATACAGTTCCACAGGTCATAAACTCATGTTTCAGAAATCCTAATTTAATTATCACATACTAACAATACTACCATGCTCTCAGATAAACAACGTACTAAAACCACTACTTAGGCCATAGCACCACCTGTTTGATGAAGCATTGCATCGATCTCATCCCCATCCTTCATTTCCAACTGTTGCAAATGGAAAAGAAAAAAAAATGTAAATTAAGTGAGCAATTAGGAATCATGGAACTCAAACAATACTCTATGTGTGCGAATGAGGAGGGAGAGGAAGGGAGGGAGACCTCGTCTGGAGTCTGCTTCCCTCGCAGGCGCCTGCCATCATACGGGAATGCAATAGAGTTGATGTCCCCTGATTGTCAATCACAGTAAGCATTCAAAACCTTCTTCAGTTGGGTGAATCTTTTGATCCTGAAGAGTACCCCATTCCCATCCTACAAAAGCACAGAAATTATGGGCTTAGCACCCGCTATTACTTTGAAATCCCAATAAATGATTCACCATTGCAATTCCCCATGGCATAATAGCTAGCAAACATCACCATTTCACAGCCTAGAAACAAGAGAAGTTTTTCATCCAAATCACCAGCAGGGAACCAATCAAATTTTATATGCATGGATTCTAGAGTTTTCGGGTTTGGATTCTCTGGAGAAGAATCAGGCGATCACAGTGAAGAACTGGTAAGCTCTAATTCAACCGACCGGGGGGTGTTTTATTGAGGGGAAAAAATAATGAACGGTTGAGATGCGTTTAGTTGATCTAGATCGGACGGATGTCAGACACTGGGCCAGGTAGAGGAGCCATCTTGTTAAACTTTCAGGAGGCCAAATCCAAATCTGTAATTGAGGTATAACCTCTCTCGGAATTGAGTCCATATTTCAGTTGGACTTTTTCTTCTATGACCCAAAAAGGTAAAATCCATTTAACCCTGTCCAGTTTCCATCGTTCATCCTTTTCTGATCTCTGATACCTCAAGACCTATATCCCCACCAATCCACCATGCATTTTCTTTTCATTTTTTTTCCAAGAAAAAATAAGTTAACAATCTCTCTCTTTAATCTTTAATGAATCTTCTTTATATGTTGATTTATTTAAGATATTTTAGTTTTTAAGTTTGATATTTTTCAAATTAGATTGGGTATTAAAAATGTAGTCTAAACACTAAAATTATTAAATTATCATTAATAAAGAATCATATATAAAAGTTTTATTAAAAGCATTTAAATAAGTTTAATATTTAAACTGCACATTAAAAATGCAGTCTAATTTAAAATTTTATGTTAAGTTTTTCATTGTGATTGTTGATATTTTAGTTGTCAAAATATTTTGATTTTACTCTATCTCTTTTGTAGTTTTAAATTTGAGAATATAGAAGAAATTTCTCTATCAGATAAATCCTCTTTTTTCTTGTCGATTTTGAATTTAAATATGAATCTTCGGCTTAAAAAGTTAAAAGCTTTAAGCTTTAAACGTTGGGTTGTCTGGTTGTGGGGAATACAACAGTTACAATGTAGAAGTTTTAGTTAATTGTTGTAGTTCTACCAGACTACCACAAATATCTCTATCCCAACAAATGGTGCACATGGGAACAGGCAAGAAAGCATTTTGAAATTTCCCCAACCCAAAATGTGGCAGGCAGAGAGCACAAACCCCACAATCTGTACAAAACCCATAATTTTGTCAGGCCTACCGGCTACCACACTAAGAGCCTGTTTAGTGTGGTTGGTAAGAGTTTTAGCTTTTGAGTACTGTTATGAATAATAAGTTTAAATTTTTATTGGAGGAAAAATAGAGTTTTAGCTTTTAGAAAGGTGAAAAAGTAAGTAAAAAGTAAGTAAAAAGTAAGTAAAAAAAGAGTTTATGAAAAGTTTGGATTTGAAACTTTTGAGCTTTTACTGTTTAAGAGCTTTTTGAGGTTAAAAAAATATTTAAAAGTATAAATTTTTAAGAGAAAAATTTAAATTCATGAAATATAAATAGTGTGCAAAATCTGAAACTCCTAGGAGCTGCACCAAACGTGCCCTAAGTAACCCTGGCCACTTTACCAAGCTTTTGGTGAACAGAAACTTGCCGACTTAAATTCTTTTATTGAAATATTATTATTAACTCAATTAAAGCCTTGCGTTCTGGGCTCAACTCCTACATGCATCAGCATGCAATGACTTCATTTTCAAGACTTCTTTAAGGGAGGAGATAAGGCCAAAAGGGTCTGTGTCCCTTGCAAATGAAGTCAAGGTTGGAGTTGGACATTGTTAGTTTTTCAATTTGATTGTTGCTACTTTTCCCATCTAAACTCACCAAATTCCTCCGTTTACATTCAGGAAGACACTGTGGCAATGAAAACGGTAATGGTTTTTAATTTGTTTTTAGGGTTTGATGTGAGGAAGTGCCTAGAAACCTTTCATACATATTAGACTAAATTTATTATTTTATTTTGATTAAAAGGTTATCATCTATGTATGTCAAAACAAAGATTCATAAACAACGCCTCCTAGTAATCTCTTTTTTTTTAATATATAGTACCAACCTCTCAACGACCCTTGAGATAAAGAAAAAATGAATATTTATTTGAGTCTCTTTAATTTAAGAAAGTATATCTCTCTATTTTTTACTTCATTTCTCTCAAATCAAGCAAATAATTTGTGCCCATGATGCTTTAGTAAACAAAGGATAGCAATCGCTTGTAGCTAAAAAAGGTGTTTGATTGTTGGACGCATGAACCCCATTTGAGCTAGCTAGCCTTTGAGTGGGTCAGTTGAAATTCATGACTTTTTGAGTGTACAGGAAGTCTTAATCTCTTTGTAATTATTAAACCAACTGATTCAGTAAATTAAAGGACCTTAGAAGCAAGACCTACAATCTTTACTAAAATAATCAAAATAAAAAATGTTGTTCACCTATATGGTGTATTAAACCCATTCTTCTTCCTTTCGAATACCTGATAAATTAATTTTAAAACATTCATGTATTTGTCATCATACATGCACGCTTTAATCAAGACACGTATTTAATCTTGTTGCATACGCGATTCAGACTTTTGTTTGAGTAGAACAACCGAGAATTTTATCTCATTTTACTTAATTAACATAATAAACCCACCATTAGGTGTTTAGTTTATGCAAATGCTTGTACTTCTTGATTTTAGAAGCTTTTATTGAACTTGGTTTCTTTAAGGGTTGGATTGATCATGTGAGGGTTAGTCAGAATTAAGAGCCTGTTTAGTTAAAGGTCACTCTTTTTAGAAAAATAGTTGAAAAAGTATTGTACAAAAAAATTGATAGGTTTTATAATAAAGTTTTGTTAAAGTTTATTTGGATTTTTATAAATTTTTGTGTTTAGTAAGAAATTAACATAAAAAAATAATAAAAAAAGTTGTCAAATAGGTTTCATGTATAAAAACTTGAAGAAAAATTTTTTTACTTTAAAGTGTATGAAAAAGTAAATTTACAGGTTACAAATTGTGTTAAAAAAATAAAAAATAAAAATTTCACTTTTATTACTAATATTAAATTTGTAATAAAAGTATCATTATAATTAGGGATGTTCGCGGTGTGATTTGGTTCGGTTTTATTATTTTTTAAACCAATTCAATTTAATTAGTTAATAAAATTTTTAAACCAATCCAATCTATTATTATATGATAACCAAATCAATTCAATTTAAATCGGATCGGTGTGGTTCAGTCGGATTGATCGGTTTTTAA